CCCCAAAACCCCAAAACCCCTAAAGTAAAAAGTAAAGTATTAAAAGGGTTGATCAAATTATGTATTAAAATGTGGATACTTTCCGTTTTAAATAATTAAAGAGTAAAAGCAAATTAAAGTAATAAATTCCGTTCAATGATGTCAAACTAATAATTCTAACACAATAATATTATCAGCAAAAGTTTTAATACTAAAAACATAGACCATCAAGTACATTTAAGACTCCTTGACTCAGCATTTAAGTAGAGATAACCAGATAATACGAATTGAAACTATTATTATGCTAAGAGCTATAGAGATGAAAAATAAAAAAGCTCGCAAATCTTGCCAAATCTTAATTCTAGATTTAGGTCTAATTTCAAAGAAGAGAATAGCAGTCGACTTTAATAGAGTACTTAAGGCAGTAATAGATCTCCGATATACTCTGAAAATTCAAATGTTTAATCCAGTCTAAATTCATTGAGACAGTCAGATGAGCAACTAAGAATTAATTATCTTGAGAACAAGAGTAAATACTCTGACTTAGTCACTGAAATAAAAAAGATTAAGAAGTATAAACTAAAATAAATATTTGGGAGCAAAAATGAAAATAGTCAAGTAAACAGCAACAGTAAATCTGATAGAGAATACTCTATAAGATAAGACTACTAAGATATAAAATATTCCTAAAACTAAAGCTTGGAGAATATTCCTCATCTCTCTAGTCACAATTCATAAGAGGGGTCGTGAATAAGAAGATAATTTTAATAAAACGAAAGTAGTTTGAGCACGAATAAGAGTGGATAGATCAATACAATTGATTAATAGAGAGAAAGTCTATAGATGTCACCGCAAATAATTAAGCCTACCAACGTTTCATTCTTAGGAATAAAAAAGCATGATGGCTTGCACTTTAGAATCAAGCAAGTACTTGATGAATCTTTGAGTGAAAGTAATCCATATTCAACTCCAGATTTGATTGCTAGGAAGTAGTTTTCTTATAAAAGAGATGCTATCTCATCCCGAAATATACAGTAGTTAAGGTCTGAGATAAAATCTTCGATTACTCAGAGGAACTATCTATTATCACATAATATATCACCAGATACTAAAATTTCATAGCTTAGTTCAAACCGCTAGTAATCTCAATTTCAAATTCATTTATAAAATCCAATGATATCTAGGATTCTTAATGAAAAACCAGAAGAGGTAAAAGATTTCATCAGATCTATTGAAGAAGAAGCTTCTTTAGATGAGCAACATAAGAATAGGAAGTTTTTAATTAAGAAAATCATTTAGGATTAGAAGAGCTAGGATGTGTAGTTGCAGTAGTAGCAAAGAATCAGAGACTAAAGAATTGAATAAATACGCTTGAATCTTCCATTTAAAAAAAGTTTTCGGCTGAAAGCTAAATCTATTGGAAAATTTCTTTTCATGCTAAAATATATCAGAATAAAAAGGATGCGGATAAAGAAAAATCAGGTAAACGTTATGGAGAAAATGATTATCGTAGCATACTAGATCGCGATAAACTGGATAATGAAAATGAACTAAAATCTATTTAAAAACATAATGATAAAATATGATCAGAGTAGCTTTATTCTAAGTAGAGGTGCTGCTACTTTGAACTTCTTACAGGATTCGCTTGATCCGCCAGAACAAAATAAAAGATTTATATAATGTGTAATCAGGATAAAAGTCTTACTAGGAAACATTCAGGACAGTATTGCCTATAAGTAAATGCCTGATCCTCTGCTTAAGTTCTTTGATCAAGTGCTAAAATTAGGAACTTTTGTTCCACCTACCTTTATAAACTTTTATGAAAGAGAATTTGGTTTGTTTGATTATTAAGATACTACTAGCTCCCTTGATGTGGATTAAAAAATGATAGTGATTGGATTCATGCTTTTTGATAAGATTTTATATCGATAGATTATTGATTAGGTAAAGCAAATTCAGAGTAAAAGTAAGGACTTACATATCTCAAGCGTAGAGAATGTAAACATAATGATGACTCTAATCTACTATGTATTCCTGATGGTCGTATATGAAATTATGTAAAAGAATAAAAGTGATATATCTATGTTTTAAGATGCCTCATTTTGGAATAATAATGATCTTGAAAATATCTAACCCTTTGAAAAAGTAATGCCTTTTCTTACAACTTAATTCGATTTAATAAAGGATGTTAAAGGACTGATAAGAGGTATTATGAATTCTATTATGAAAACTCTTTTACTAATTGTGAGGAGGGAAAATAATTCTATAAATTACTCAACTGATATTTAAAATATCTCATCTTAAATTGATTAAAATTTATCAGTGCCATCATAGAATAGAAGCCTTGTGTTATGAAAGCATTCTAAAGGTTATTGAAAGCTATGTAGTTTTTTTATTTATTATGATATTTTAAGGATATTATTTAAAAGTATTATAACATTAATCTTGAAATATTTCTGATATTAGGGGTTTTGGGGTTTTGGGGTTTTGGGG